ACAGGCATCGTAAGAAGACCCCGGCTGAAGATCTAGGCTGAGGGTCTAGAGTGCCTGGGTCCACCTGCCCAGGGGTTCTCAATCTTGGCTGAAACTGAGGATCGCTTAGAGAGAACAAAATTGCTGGAAGCCAGGCTCACACATCAGTTTTCTACTGTTGCCAGTTGGTTCTAATGTTAGCCAGAGTTCAGAGCCATGGATATGGGCCTTAATTGATTTCTGACACTACGAGCTCTTTTTTGTTGTTTTTGAGATGGAATCTCACTCTGTTGCCCAGGCTAGAGTGCAGTGGCCCGATCGATCTCAGCTCACTACAACCTCTGCCTCCCAGGTTCAAGCAATTCTCCTGCCTCCGCCTCCTGAGTAGCTGGGACTACAGGCATATGCCACCATGCCCAGCTAATTTTTTTTTTTTTTTTTGTATTTTTAGTAGAGACCAGGTTTCACCATGTTGGTCAGACTGGTCTTGAACTCCTGACCTCAAATGATCTGCCTGCCTCGGCCTCCTGAAGTGCTGGGATTACAGGAGTGAAACACCATGCCTGGCTTAGCTCTTTAACTTTCAAACATTTATGCAGTTTGTTTTGCATTCATCAACTTTCATCAAAGGAAATGGAAAATCTCTAGGGTCCCTTCCAGGGCCACAATTGCCCCTCCCTCTAATTAGCAAATTTAGATCTTCTGTTATCTTCAAATTTAGATCAACTATTATCCAGAAAAGTCTTCAGTGATCCCCTTCCATGCTCTTTTGGAGCCCTTCACAGCTTCTTTGTGTAATCGATTATTTTGACTAATTAGTTACGCAGTCACTTGTTTAATGTTGACCTTCCTCACTGAAATACGAACTTGCTGACAGCCAGCATCTATCTTACAAACTTGGGCACTTGCACATGAAAAGCATCAATCAATGTTTTTAGGATTTCTGAATAAATACAATGCTACAATTCTGTGACAGTTTCATTCATATCATAGTCAGAACTGGAAATGATGTATCAGCCTATGCCATCAAACTTCCTATGTCAAGAGCCACATCGTAAGTATTTCAGGCTTCATGAGCCACGTAAGGTCTCTGTTGCATATTTTTCACTGATTTAATTTGTTTTGAGCAACTTTGAACATGTAAAAACCATTCTTAGCTCCGGGCTTTGCAAAAGCAGGCCAAGTTTATACTTCAGTTACAATAACTACATTTCAAATGTATAAATGTTGAATTCTATCAGGATACTTGTCAAGTAATTTTTATGCCTCTTCCTATTTCTGTCTGTAAGACAAAACTAATCTCAAAAGCTGCCTTTGATATTTCAAGTGACAAAGCAGGACACAAGAGGTCTATTTTCTCCATTGCTTCTGGTCATTAGAGAACATTCTTTGGTCTCCCAGGATTTTTTTTAAGGGGAAATAAAGAATTTTCCCCCTACAGAACTTCAGTGTGTCTGCATCTAACCGGAACTAAATACCTAGGAAATGGCATCCTTCAATTCTCAAGAGATTAATTATCATAACAGAATATTGTTGTATTCCTCTTACCGAACTACTGGAAATAGCCCTAAAACTAATCTTTTTCCTACCACTCAGATAATGTAGATGACAAAGAAATAAGGGCAGCAGGATCTTGCATGTGTGTGACTGAGGAGAAATGTGTTTGTGCATATCAAGTCAAAACTTGTCAAAGGGGTTCCGGAACGGTGTGGAAGAGACAGGATGATGACCTGCTGGGACTCCACTTCCATGAGAAGCACATGCCCCTAAATCCTTAATCCAGGGTTTCTCCACCTCAACCCTGTGGACACCCTGGGCCTGATGTTTCTGTGCTCTGGGGTAGTGGGGGGAAATTTTCCTGCACTTTCAGCAGCATCCCTGGCCATTATCACGGATGGCAGCGGTACAGCCACCTCGCCCCCAGCTGTAACAGCCGAAAATATCTTTAGATATTGCCAATGTCTCCCGGGGCAAGGGGGCAAAAATATTCCCAGGCTGAGATCCCCAGGTCTAACCTCTCTCTAAAGAAACGTCACCTCCATCTTTAACAGTAACCCGGCTTCCCGCTGAGGATCTCCTCACACTGCAATCGTCTCGGTGGAGGCATTTTAAGTCAAATCCCTCACGTTTGAAGGACAAAACGTGGTTGACCTCCTTGATCCCCATGAGTACTTCCAAATGATTCATTCTCCTTCAAACCCATGAGCTTTCTGGAAACTCCTGCCACTGGCCAGCCTCTACTACCCCTCCTCCTTTCTGCCACCCACTAACCTCTAGCTATTCCCTCCCCTCGCCGTTCACTAAGTAACTCACCTCCTGCCTCACGGACCTGCGTTCCGCCTCCACTCCTGTCATCCTCAGTGATTCTGACATCCACGTGGAGGGCAAGCTGATGCTCAGGCGGATAACGCACCTGAGACCTTCATCCCCTCGCCTCCAGCTAACATTTTCTCCACAGCAAATTAGCCACCCATTCCCATGTCACAACCTCAAATTGGTCACTATGAGGAACTGCACCACCTCCAGAAGATCAGATCCAAAGTTTACTCCAAACTCTCCAGTGGCTTCCCATCACCCTCAGAGTAAAATCAAACCTTCACTGCGGAGTCCTGATAGATAAGTTAGCAACAATGAGGAAAAGGGGTCCCAGGTGGGGGAGAACAATTGTTCTGAGAGACGGCTAACCACAAACAACCCGCCGGCACAATATCCTGTGCCCAGATACCCCACTCTGCACGCAGCCCAGCAGCATCACTGTATCTGCAGGTAGCCCCACAAGCAGGACCCGATCAAACTTCCCTCCAGCCCCTGCCTCTTGGCAGACAGCCCCCCGTCTCTGCTGTGCTCCCCCTGGCTTCCTTGCAACGTACTTACTCTCTAATAAACTTGCACTCTTTACCTCGTTGCTATTTCAGTACATGATTTTATAACCCAAGGCAAGAGCCTGAATCAGTCACAACCCCCGCAGCACTCACCGGACGCAGGAGCCACCTCGCTACCTCCCAGCTGTCACCACTCTTGCCTACTGGCCTCCTCCTCGAACACACTGAGCTCACTCTCACCATGAAGCCTTTTGCACTAGAACATTCTTCCCCCGGATACATCAATGATTCCCTCACTCCTTTGTGTCATTCAGGTCTCCAGTCAGCGGTCACTTCCACTGAGAGAACCTCCTCTAACACCCTTTCTGAAGCAGCACACCCCATTACTCTTGTGTCCGTTATCCACTTTATTCTTCAGAGAGCGTAGTCCTCGAGTTTATGTAGGTCCATGATGTCTCCTGCTCCTGGAGTGTAACCCTCATTCAGCAGTCCCTGTTCTTTGTTGACCACCTTTTACTCAGGGTCTCAAGGAGTAGCTGGCAAAGAGGGGATAATCAATTAACGTTCTAATCATCAACGAATCTATGCACAAATGCCTGAATGGAACGTCGAACTCCTGACCACCACCTTCTACCTTCAGGATCTTACTCTAGAACCCCTGCGAAAGCTCCATCGACCATGCTGACCTTGAATCCGTGTCTCTACTAATGTCGCACAATCCAGCACCCGTGCTGTCTCACTGCCTCCCTCAGCGGCTTAAGTTCCGTGTTTTATCACTGTAATTAAATACTTCAAACACTTCAGCTCCCTCATCCCTCTCTCCCTCCACCACGCTTGTCTGGTGAAATCACAACCTGTTTCAGCGTGGCCATCCACTTTCTCTTTGCCTGCACCTGAGCAACCGAACACTGTAAAAGAAAGCCATGGCCAGGTGCAGTGGCTCACGCCTGTCATCTCAGCACTTTGGGAGGCTGAGGCGGGTGGATCCCGAGGTCAGGAGTTCAAGAACAGCCTGGCCAAGATGGTGAAATGCCCGTATCTACTAAAAATACAAAAAAAAAAAAAAATTAGCTGGATGTGGTGGCGGGCACCTGTCATCCCAGCTACTTGGGAGGCTGAGGCAGGAGAATTGCTCGAACCTAGGAGTCAGAGGTTGCAGTAAGCCCAAATTGTGCCATGGCACTCCAGCCTGGGTGACAGGGTGAGACTGCATCTCAAAAACAAACAAACAAAAAAACAATAACAAAAAGAAAGCCACACAGATGTCTGTCTTCACTTTCTTTCTTTTTTTTTTTTTTTTTTTCACTGAGACAGAGTTTCGCTCCTGTTACCCAAACTGGAGTGCAATGGCGCGATCTCGGCTCACCGCAACCTCCGCCTCCTGGGTTCAGGCAATTCTCCTGCCTCAGCCTCCTGAGTAGCTGGGATTACAGGCACACGCCACCATGCCCAGCTAATTTTCTGTATTTTTAGTAGAGACGGGGTTTCACCATGTTGACCAGGATGGTCTCGATCTCTTGACCTCATGATCCACCCGTCTTGGCCTCCCAAAGTGCTGAGATTACAGGCTTGAGCCACCGGGCCTGGCTTGTCTTCACTTTCAGTTCACAGCTATATACCTCAATGAGGCCAACACCGCTCTGCGTTCTGTCAGCTTCCACTCCAATACAGTTTTTATACAATCTTCTCCCCACCTGACACATTCTTTCCAATGATGAGATGATATTGTCAAATAATTTACTGACACAGTGGAAGAATCTGAGACAAATTCCAAATATGCAAACACACTCTTGTCCTCCTCACAGTGGAAAGAGGCCCTGTTACAAACAAGAGCAAGTTCCTTCCCTTGTGTTCTGAACTGAATTCCTTGTTGCGTGTCACGATCTCACTTCATTAGCTATCCCTTCTCTCCTGAAACACAAACACCTCCCTCTTTGCCGGACATTCCCAGTATCATACAAACATGCTTTAAAAAAAAAAAACAAAAACAAAAGTACAAACCCTCCCTTGAGCCCACATCACTCCCTGCAATCGAGCTACTATTCCATTTCCTGTCTTCCCTTCACATCAAAACTACTAACCGGAATTACCTGCGTTTGCTACCTCTCGCTCCTTGCTCAGGTAGCTCTCATTTGGTTTCCATCCCCATCATGTGCCAGAAACTGCTGGCCAGCATGGTACCAATAACGTATTTTTCCCTTTTTTTTTTTTTTAACTTGGAACACAAACACTTTATTTAAAGTTGCATCTCAATTTATGTGTGGCGGCACAAAATAAAGGAGCAGATCGTAACATACCATTCCCATCAGCCAAGTGGTTGAACCCAACATCCAAGACCCAGTGAGCAGCCAAGCGCAGCGCAACCTCCGGGCCACCTGGTCTGACTCCAACAGGGTGAGCATGTCGCCCTCGCGCATGGGCCCTTTTACACTGCAGATGATGGAGCAGCCTGTGTGGTCCATAAATTCCATGCACACCTGCGTGCACCGTCCATGAGAGCTGGTCCTGCTCAGGACCTTGGTGACCCTGGCCGGCTTGATAGGCTGCACATGGCTGGTATCCCTGACGGTGGCTTGGTGGCGGTCTGGCAAGAGTCTTTTTTTTTTTTTTTTTTTTTAAGAGATAAGGTCTCCCTCTTTCACCCAGGCTGGAAAGCAGTGGCAGTATCGTAGCTCACTACAGCCTCAAACTTCTGGGGTCAAGCAATCCTCCTGCTTCAACTTCCCAAGGTGCTGGGACTACATGGGTGAGCCGCCACACCCAGCCATCATTTCTGTCTTCACCCTACTCAGTTTATCTTTCAGAACATTTTCACTATTGATTTACTCCTACTTCTTAAAGCATTTTACTCTCATCTCGTGATAATCCCTTCTCCTGTTTTCTCTAACTTGCTAGCCATTTTCTTCCAAGGCCCTTTTACTGACTTTTTTTTTTTTTTTTTTTTTTTTGAGTTGGAGTCTCACTCTGTTGCCCAGGCTGGAGTCCAGTGGCGCGATCTTGGTTCACTGCAACCTCCGCCTCCCTGGTTCAACCAGTTCTCCTGCCTCAACCTCCCAAGTAGCTGGGATTACTGGCACATGCCACCACACCCAGCTAATATTTTTGTATTTTTAGTAGAGACAGGGTTTCACCATGTTGACCAGGCTGGTCTCAATTGTGTGACCTCAGGCAATCCACCCCCCTCAGCCTCCCAAAGTGCTGGGATTACAGGCGTGAGCCATCTATCCCCTTTTACTGACTTCTTTACATGGCAATGCAGGAGTGCTTCCTGGCTCATCCATGGTGTATTCTCTCAACTCTTTCTATATTCTCTCCCGTAATCTCACCCAGTCTCTAAATATCCCATTCTTTGAAACTGGGCAGACATTTGTGAATACACTGACTGATAGTAGGGCAGAAGGGACACCATACCTGGACAGAATGCATGTGGCAGTTGGGGCAGCTAAGTATAGCTTCTGAAGACAGAAGAGTTCCTAAGACTGGTTTCACGAGATACGGGTCACAAAGACCCGCCGATAAAGCAGGATGTGGAAAAGAAGCCAGCCAAAACCCACCAAAACCAAGACCTTAGTGAAAGAGACCTCCGGTTGTCTTCATTGTTCATTATATGCTAATTATCATTATTAGCATACTAAAGGACTCATTACCATGGACCCGCCAGCGCCAAGACAGTTTACCAATGCAATGGCAATGTGAGGAAGTTGCCCTGTATGGTCTTTAAGTGGGAGGAGCCCTCAATTCTGGGAATTTCCTGTCACTTTCCCAAAAAACTCATGAATAATCCACCGCTTATTTAGCAAATGATCAAGAAATAACCATAAAAATAGCCAGCCAGACGCCTTCAGGACTGCTCTGCCTGCCAGGTAGCCACCCTTTTATTCTTTTACTTTCTTAATAAACTTACTTTCACTTTACTTTGTGGTTCCCTCTTGAATTCCTGAGGGAAGCCAAGAACCCATCTGCTTTCCCAGGCAGAACCCAGTTTTAGGGTTGGCTCTGTGACACGACTATATTGTAATAGCAGGAGAACTGGGGAAAAAGATGAGAATTCAGAGAACCACCAAACCAGCAGGGTTACCAGTCTGGTTCCTCCAGTATGCCTAAACCTGAACTCAAGCTATCCCAAAACCCAGAAGTGGGCATCAGCACTGACAAGGAGTGACTTTAAGGGCCAATTTGGCAATGTGTGTCAGTGATCTTTAAAAATTCACCCCTTTGACCCAGAAATTCAACTTCATAAAAGCTATTCCAGGTAAATATTCAGAGGTATACTCAGCGTGATGCAGCATAGGATTATTATGAAAATGAAATGAGATAATGCATGTAAAGTATTTAGCACAATTCTTGATACTATAATAAATGGATTATTAAGAGAAAAAAAATTCAAAGGAGCTAAAGTGTCCAATAAAGACATAAGCAAAAAAGAAAGAGATAGCTTTATACACATGACTGCTAACTATACAGCCATTAAAAGCCATGCTATTACAGAAAGAATAATAATCTAATTGATTTAAACATATTGAATATTTTTAAAGAAACCAGAAAAATAAATCATCAGATATCACTGGAGAATGCTGGGCCACTGATACCAGAGAACAGGAAATAATAAAGCATTTATGCTGCCTTTCTAGAAAGAACTGTATTTCAGGGTAACAACCATACCTAGTGAATAAAGGAAAGTCTTCAATACAGAAAATTCCAGACAAAATGTGCAAAAGAAATGACGGAACTAGAAAATCACCATTTTGCAAAACCTAATGAAATAATGGGTTCACTCAATGAAGAGCAAGTGGATGGAAAATCCATTAGATAAAAGGTCAATTGAAACACTTGCAAAGAAAGGATCGAGCTGTCATCCCCAATCCCAGGGATCATTCACAGCTTCAGAACAATTGAGAAAGCCACACAGGGTAGGCCCCTGCTGGGGGCGATCATAAAGCACGCAGCACCCCCCATCAAGCTCTCCTGCTGTCCCCCAACCTCTGGAATAAAAGAAGAGAGAACTGAGCATGAACCAATTAATTTCAGATTGCTCCTAGCATCCATTCTGGAGTATCAGAGAGTTCTGAGACTGGACTAGTTAACAGATAATATTGAACAACTAATTGTATTTACATTCAATATAAAGAATGATACTGTAGCATATTTTAAAAGTCCATTTTGAAATACATACCAAAGTATCTGATATTAAAATAACATGATGTCTGAAGCTTGTTTTAAGTTATTTCACAAAAAAAGCAGGCAGCACAGGGTAGAAGTGGAAGAAAGGGGCTGACAAAACTATCTGGCATTAAAAACACTGATGATTACCGAAGCCGAGTGATGGACTAATGGAAGTGCATTGTGCTTCCCTGGGTGTATATATTCAACTTTCACAATAAAATATCTTAAATCACGCTATTAAAAATATTTAATTACACAGAAATACATGACACAAAAACCATGTGAAAATTCAAGATCACAAAGCTAAACAAGGCATGTTCCTGATTTTGCAAAACCATGAGATATGAACCCAGTTTATTAAAGAGTCAAAATCACTGTGGTGGGAATGTGAATAGTTTTTGTTGCTTCTAGGACACACACTCCAGCTGGACTATACTGAGCTCCTTTTCTATTCAAGGAATGTAATTTGACCAGGTCGTGGGAATGGACAGAGACATGAACTTTTATTTCTCTTCCTGCAATTGATAATTGAGGATTTAGTCGGGAGACACTCACCTACTAAATAGGATGCCTTGAATCTAAACTAGGGAGGAAGGGCTGGCCTGAAGCCTTCCAAACACAACCTTACTTCTTAACTGTGCAAATTGGCTGGCTGGGGCCAGGAACCAGAAGCTTCCACGTTCCCTCTGGCACTCACTTTCACACCCCACGACCAAAGTATCCCCCAGTCAAGGAATCCCCGAGTCTCCTCACTCTACTCCTTGGTCAAATCACTGTTCCTAGGCAGACATCTCAACCACACCAATAAATGAAAATCACTGCTCCTAGAATAATTTTAACTTTTTCAAGTGTCCAGCTATTCAAACCTGCATTTTACTTCATATTTGCATACATTTATTTATTCAATCATATTTCCTAAGCTCTCACTCTTTGCAAAACAGCACTAAGTCAATTTGCCAAAAATCTATCTGCTGAATGAACAGCTCACAAAACACTGCCTGTGGGCAGCAGCCACTTCACAGCAGGGGCTGGTGCCAGCTAGAAGGTCAGTGCCTAGGGCCCAGACCACAGGGTCAGCCAGAGAGGCCTTCAGAAGCACACATTGTCCCAGGGTCACTTATTAGGAAAACACAAATGGGATCACGCATAAAGAGTTAGGCTCTACCACTGCGGAGGGAACACACCCCAGCAGCTGCAGCAACACTGAAACTAGAGAAAATTCTCAAAAGCTGATAAACTCATCTCTACAGCATAGATTGCCATAAACATATGTATAAGTATATGAATGCTAGTTTCTGGTAAATTTATAACTCAATAAAGATAAGGGCAAGAGAGGGTCAAAGTTTCTTGGGCTCTTGCTGCTCCCTTTCCTCCCTCTACCCAAATAAAAGACCCGGTGAAAGGGGCCGTCTTCCTGTCCTTCAAACCCAGCCTCTAATGTCATTTTCTTAACTAGAAAATGCAGGCCTGGCCTGGCGCAGTGGCTCATGCCAGTAATTCCAGGACTTTGGGGAGGCCAAGGCAGGCAGATCACAAGGTCAAGAGATCGAGACCATCCTGATCAACATGGTGAAACCCTGTCTCTCCCAAAAATACAAAAATCAGCTGGGTGTAGTGGCACACACCTGTAGTCCCAGCTACTTGGGAGGCTGAGGCAGGAGAATCGCTTGAACCCAGGAGGCAGAGGTTGCAGTGAGCCTAGATTGTGCCACTGCACTCCAGCCTGGGGGACAAGAGTCAGACTCCATCTCAAAAAAAAAAGAAAGAAAGAAAATGCAGGCCTAAGGATATTAAGTGTCTTGTCGAAGATCATGCTATCTTTATCTAGGAAAGGTCCATGTCATTGATGACACATATTACATATCATATACCTAATTATATAGAACCGAAGAAAGCTAGAATACTACAACCATGAATAATTCTCTCGTTCTTTTATAGAATGGAAAGTGTTCCTTATTTTCTGCCCATTCTTTTCCACTGAACACACATGGACTCTGTACCTTGACTTCATGAAGGATACCCACGTGGGGATGCACAGTATTGCAGCCATAGCATAAGCTATGGAAGCCACTGCCTGGATCCCAGTCCTGATGTCAGAGGTGTTTGAACCAGAGTGACTCCATCTTGAATAGGGGCTGGGCTAAATAAGAAGGAGACCTACCTCCCAGGAGGTTATGGAATTCTTAGTCACAGGATGAGTCGGAAGTTGACACAAGATAGAGATCATAAAGACCTTGCTGATAAGACAGGTTGCAGTAAAGAAGCCGGCCAAAACCCACCAAAGCCAAGATGCTGACCAGTGACCTCTGGTCATCCTCACTGCTGCAGTCCCACCAGTGCCATGGCAACATCAGGAAGTTACCCTACATGGTCTAAAAAGAGGACGCATAAATAATCCCTCTTTGTTTGACATATAATCATATAATCAAGAAATAAC